AAACCTGGTTTTTTACTTGCAGCTACCCATTTCTTTCTATAAGGAATATTTTTACCTTGAATATTTAAAATTTTCCACATCTAATCAGTGTCTCCAAATAACTTAGCTGCCCAATTCACAATAGATAATTCTTTTTGCATCCCTTCAAAATTTGTAACCAAAGTATCATTATTCCTTATCTCCATATGCAACAAAATCTAACCTAACAGAGCAATGATCACTTGCACCCAGATGTTCCCCAATTTCCACCCTCTCGATCATTCCTATATTTGAAGTTAACAATAAATCTAAAATAGCATTGTTTCTAGTACATTCCTTGACTAATTGGTGAAGAAAGCCATCCTGAACAGTTTCAAGAAACCTTTCTCCCTCATGGTTTGATTCTAGAATTTCCCAATCTATATGTCTAAAATTAAAATCACCAATAATTATGACTTCATTAACAGCTGAAATCTTAATCTTATGGAAAGGTTTCTCATTAATTTCATCAGTATCATCTGGTGGCCTGTAACAAATTCCCACTAAAAGCCTTTTCCCTTTATATCTGCTAACAGAAACCCAAATGGATTCAATCTCCTTGCTATTATCTTTGATATCCTCAACTTCAACAGGATGTAACTCACGTTTTACATATAAAGCCACTCCTCCCCCTCTTTAATACTCTATCCCTATTAAATAGCCTGTAACCCTGTATTCTGCCATCATAATCATCTACGTTTAACCATGTTTTAGTTATTCCCATTACTTCAAAATCCTCCATTCCTACCTGTGCTCTAAAGTCATCTGTTTTATTTCTTATACTTCTAGCATTACAATAGTAACAATTAAGCTTATCCTTAAAACTACTGCTAAACTTTTCTCTGTTTTTCATTCTTTTTGCGTTTATTTTAGTTTTTCCTGGCCCTCACCACTGTCTAGTCCTAGTTTAAAACTTCCTTTACAGCTGAGTTAATAGCCTCAGCAAACAAGCTAGCCCTAACCCTACCTAAATATAAACTATCCATTCCAAAAAGTTCCCTTCTTCCACTGAACTGATCCCACAAGTCTGATCAGTCAATCTGCTCATCCTTACATGCTAACCTAAGCCTAGCATTTAGCTCTAGTGATCTACTTATAACTTCATTCCCACAGTTAATTTTGGGCAGTATCTCTGACAAAATTAAGTTATGGCCTTTTTCTTTAAATGCCTTTATCAACTCCTTGTACTTATTAATTAGCTCTTCTGACCTACCTTTCCCTACACCACTAGCCCCTACATGCACCACAAAAACTGCATCTCTGCTAACCCCCTTTATTATATCTCCTGCTCTGTTAGTTATATCCTTCATCTGTGCCCCTGGGTAGCATAATCTAATTCGTTTCTCCCTATTTATTTGCCCCACAGACTATTCTTTCCATTTGCCTTGTCAAGAAATCACCTATAACTTACTTATCATCCATATCCTTCTCTGACCCTTTTGTTTTCCTTCCCTCCAATAGTTCCTCATATGCAGAAGCCAAGGGCTGAAATTTGTTGCTCAACAGAATAGACTCATTATAACTAAATTCACTACTTTTACTCTAATAGTACTCTTTCTAACTTCCTGAAAGTCACTGTTAGTTGATGTATCCCTTACATGTAAAAGCTTCTCCTCCTGAAATACTGCTGCCATTTCCCACAGTCTACAGTTCTCTTTATCTATTGCATCTACTTTGATTAGGATAGCCAACAACTTCTTCTTCAATCTACAAACTGTACATAAAAAGTGCACATCTTCATCACTAGCTTCTTTAAAAGTACATGCCAGTCCCTAGTTCCCAAATAAAACCCAATTATTGCACCCACTACACCCTAACAAACTGTGAATGCTTAACTCCTACACTAGTCTTAACCATTGTATTTATACTTATAAGTTATAGTTATGAATTTAGATCCACTAGTTAACAAGTTAATTCTTAAAACACCAAGAGACAATAAACTAGTTTTTAAGATTGTATTTATTTAATAAAACAACGTAATTATCCTGTTTTACGATTTTCCAGTAAGTTGAAATATACCTAAGCCTAAAGTACTGTTACACATACTAAGCCTATTTTAACACTGTAGTAAAATTTACACCACTAAACTCTAAGTTAAAACTTTGACCACTTTACTTTTATTTACCAGTCTTACTATATCTAGTTATTATTGTTATTTAACCCAGATTACTACAAATTATAATATTAATATTAAATAACTTTCAGAAATCTATAAAAGCTTAACTTTTCAACATCCACTCTCTTCGGTTGCACCCTCCACCATCAAAACTAGAAACATCAACTATAGACATTAACAGGCCATAATTTAGAACAGGAACAAACCACCTTCTTTATTTTCTGAGGTATCAATAAATTTGTTACACTCATCAAAAACAAAGCTCCTCCCAACTCTTCATGCTTTTGATATTACTTATTTACTCACTTTTATTTGTCAATGGTAAGTGTTTAACAAACAGAAAGGCCATTTTGTGAGCTACATGATTATGACAACTTTATGTTAATTTAATTTGGAGAAAAGCCCCATTTCGCAAGCAGCTTTTATTAAGTGTAGACTGAAATTGATGCTCTAATAAGTAATTAAATTGTTTTAACCTATTTATATGTTAGTTAGAAAGCCATACAAATTATAGTAGCTTTGAGACATTCTGTTTTGCTGTTTGAATCATCGTTTTTATGTTTGAAAATACATATTTGAAAAACTATGTAAATTAATTTTTTGGACAACCAGCATGGTGTGAAAAAAAGTGGTCTTAGCAAAGTATGGCAATGGCTAAGAGTAAATTCTCGAGTCCACATAGGATTAAAAGTAATAATTACTGGTATCTTTCTTGTTTTTATGTATATTTCTTACATGTATATATTTGGCAAAACTACCTAAAATGTAAAAATTTAAAACTTATTACAAGATGCAGTAAAAAAATATAGATAAAACAGATTAAATGAAACTTTTTCATAATAATCCTTGAGAATCTTCTGAGGACACTGTCAGATGTTGTATCATGTAACATGAAACTTTCTTTACCCTAAACTATCTAAATTTTTGCTGGGTGATTTATTTCTTTTCATGGTAGTTAGATATTGTTCAAAGAGCAATAAAACAGTAAAATTAAATAAAAGAAACTGTTAAATGTTAAAGAGGCCTAAAGCTCATAAGATATATAACTGTAATTGTCTATTCCATTATGCAGTTAATACAATAAGAAAAAAAAAAGTATTATTATTCTTAACATGATAAATCACCTTGCACTCAGACTAGCCAGAGCTAAAATGACTCAGTATATTCAGTCAAATCTTTAGTGAAAATTCTGTGTACAAAATACTTGTAGTGTTTACTAAAGATTTATCAAGTTTTGTGAATACGCATAGTAAATTTGGAATTACAGAAAAAATTAATGCTACAATCTAGGTGTCCAATAGACCAACCCTGTGCACATAGGGTTAAAGTAGGCTCCTTCCACTACTAAAGGAAGTTATGCAGAAATACTAATTTACACAACACTGGAATGCTATTTAAGATAAGCTCATTCCATTACTATAAGATGTTATTTAATACAAGCACTTTCCATTACTCTAGGATACTACTCAAAACAAGCTCCTTCTGTTACTCTTGGTAACAATAAAACAGTATCTGTCTTCTGACAATAAATATAGTAATTACTAGGAATTTCCCATATATTGTTTTTAACTAGTAGAGTAATTTACAAAGAGATCATTCCATGAGAATTCTTACCACCAGTAAAATATTTTTACTGCATCTTCTATAATGTTATTTGTATCAGTATTCCAGAGAATAAATACATACTCCAACCTTTCGTTCTTTTTTTTACATACCCAGTCTTAAGCTGGGAAGTTCCTTTATGTTAGGTTTTAAACAATAGTAGTTGTTTTAAAAGAAACCATTTAATAGGAGATGCTCTCATGACTTCAGTACTTACTTAGGAGGAGACCTTAAGGTTATGAAGGAGATAACTTGATATGAGCTACTCTTGTGACTTCAGTACTCACATAGGAGAAGGAACTTGAGGTTATGAAGGAGATCACTTGATTCAAATGACTTCTGTACTAATCTGAGACAAGGACCTTGAGGTTTTGAAGGAGATCATTTGATACAAGCTGCTCTAGTGGCTTCAGTACTTACCGAGGAGGAGACCTTGAGGTAGCTTCTCTCACTAGGTGTACTAAACATGAGAAATGGACAGCAAATTGAAGAAGAACAGTCAGTATGGTATATATGTTGAAGATGTTGGGCAGAGGACGTTCTTTAGATAGTCTTTTTAGAGGCTAGAAGAAATTAATTCAGAGTTAAAATAGTACGTTAGATATGCTGTTTCGTAATGTGCACCAGGAAAAATCTCTATTTTCAGTTACTATTCATAATATTGATGTTTTTCTTCTGAATAAACATTACATGGAATATTTTTGGGATTGTTTTGATTACCTACAGATAAATGAAAAAAAAAAGTTATTATTTATTAACAAAAGCAGATTAGATCATAAATTTAAGTGAAAAACTTTTCTATCACAAAATACAACTGCATATGATCTCCAGTGGGGATATGACCCCATTTTATCAGTTTTATCACTTTAAATCTTCTTTGAAGGCATAGGGATAAATTAAAAAGCTGCAACATGCAGTTCCATACTTCTAACATGGTAAAATATAAAATTAGCACATTAAATTTCAAATTACATATATATACACATAGTGCCTTCAAATGAAGTTAATTCAATTTTTAAAAATTTCATCTTCTGTTGCATACAGTTATAAATTAATTAAGTTAGCATTTCATTGTAAGGCTTCAATTTTCTAAACATAACATTGAAAATTATGTATACATGTTAATAAAATTTTCAGTTAATAACAAATATTCTGTTATCAATCATGTGGTACTTTCAATTGGCAACAGGCCTGATCAAAATTAAATAAAGAAACAAAATAAGAAAAATGACAGGCAACTGCCAGCTTTGATTCACTGAATTTGGGACTTCATCAGATGAAGACATCTTCCACACAAAAATATTTTTACAGCATGAAGCTGGTTAATTTTGAAGCTAAAGATGAAAATAGTCTGAAAACTAAAACAATTCATAACAGATATTTTTCACCCTTGATGTATTTAGCAAAATCTATGATTAATCAAAGTTACTAATTTCAATTCAACTTTCAATGATTTTAAACAAGTAAACAATGTTCAGAATTGTGGGAAAAAACCCCAAACTTAAGCAAAAAGTGACATGGTGTGGTCATTTCACAAGTTGAGTTGGAAAAGGTATACAATGCAGATTATCAAACACAGAAACATTTAATCTTTGAAAGGAGAACCACTTGTCTTTATTTTTTTATATTAAGCATTAGGTTGTACAACATACTATCTGTGGAGTAACAGCATGAAAACAGAGGTTATAGTGGACACAACTGGCAGTATACAAACAAGATCTGGAGTAACAGCATGTGAACAGTTAAAAGTGGACACAACTGGCAGTATACAAACAAGATATGGAGTAACAGCATGTGAACAGTTAAAAGTGAACACAACTGGCAGTATACAAACAAGATATGGAGTAACAGCATGTGAACAGTGACAAAGCACTCTGGTAATAATGCTAATAGGGCACCACATTTTTGACAAACAAAACTAAATCTACAAACTTATTCAGTGCCAGTTTTTACAAAATGTAGTAGAAAATATTTCTAAATTCCCAACACTGAATGACTAGTTGTTTTTACAAAACTTTTTATTCTTAAAAAAAACCTGATGACACGTTTCTTGGGATGTATAGGTGTAAATATTCTACCATATTGCTTCTAATTAACACCCCCCCTCTCCCCAATATTTTTACAAAGCTTACCTTGTGTGACAGCAATAGTAATCCAACATATAATCCACTCTTATTATCGCAATTTTGATTTGAAAAAAAAAGAAAACAAACACACACACACTTATTAGCATTTAAATCAACAAAACACACGTGAAAAACAGAATCCAGAAGTGCACAAATAGTACACTTAGCAAATTTCCTTTGCAGTTTGCAATTTCCCCAGGGGCAATACAGTATGTATGAAAGTTAGTGATAGACCAAAATAAAAATAAGTGGTAATAATAAGATTAAACTCTACATTAATCCCTTCTTATCATGATAAAGAATTAAAAGTTAACATTTATGGCCAAGAAAATTTGAAAACTAGTAAGGTTTTGTAATAAAGAACATATAATTTTAATTTTTCTACATCTATCAAAGTATTTTTTTTTCATTAATATGATTAAAATAACTCATAACTTAAAACTTACGCTCACAAAAATTTCTTTACTTATCTAAATGAAGATTTCAAAATGCTGAAATTGATTTTACACACTACACAAGAAATAGTCATACCTTTGAACGAGAAATGAAGAGAAAACAACCTGCCAGTAGCAGACCTTGTAAAGTAGCCTGGGCATCACTAAACTTGATCCCTTCAAGGTACAGAACACTCTGACTATATGCCAAGATGAGTGCATTTAAAGCCAGAATTTTGAACATTTGTAGTGTTGTCACCAGGGTACAACGTCCTTGTTTTATCACATGGCAAACTAATTATAAAAATATTTATAAGGCATTCTATATATATTTGAAACAAATTTTAATTTTACTTAAAACTTCATTTAAAATTCTAAATCAAAAATAAAGGACACTGTACTGTTTTCATATGATAAATTATTTAAATAATTGCATGTAAAATTATTTTATTGGTTCATATCAATTTTTTTATTTAAAAAATAAGAGCCTAAATGTCAATATTCAAAAGAGCATTGAATTTTTTATTAGTTTCATATAGAAATATAGTCTATCAGAACCACTATTTGTTCATATTCTTGGTACACAAGAGAGAAAAAACATACTGCATTCAATAGAAGACATTTTTGCTGTGAATGGTGCGGCTATACTGGCATCCCCCAGCTTTACAATATGAGCTTGCTCTTGTTCTTCAATCTCTTTCAGAATCTTTTGAAGCTGTTTCTAGATATAAAAAAAATCAATAATTTTCTATTTTTATAAATCTGTGGACCAATTAGTAAGAACTCATTCTAAAAGAACCTATTATATTGAAATTGATTGAATAGTTTCTGTGAATGCGATTTTGGATTAAATATAGCATATCAAAACAAAATCTTATTACAACTTTTAGGGAAATTAATAAAAACAAAAATTAAAAATAATAGAATTGCAATGAAATGAATATGAATTGTGTATTTTGAATATAATTTTTCATAAATTTTACCAACGAAGTAAATTTAAAGCATGACCAAATACTTTTCCAGAGAATATAAACATGATAAATAGTATAACTCTGTACAGCACAAATAAGCCAATTCATGAAATTAAAATAAAAGAGAGAGAGAGAGAAAACCCATAATATTTTTGAGAAGATAACTTACCAAAAAGTATGTAGCTATTCAACATCTGGAGTAAAAGCATGTAAATAGAGCTTAAAGTGGTCATAATAATGAGGAAACAAGTTCAGCATTTCATAACACCAGATTGGGTTTTCAGCATATTAACATTAGAATGCAGTTTCATCACTTGGCTATCCTTGACATTAACAACAATAAAGCCAATAATATCTTTCAAGGTTCAGCCAACTTAGGAGACTTAAGTTATTCCTAAATCCATATAATTAAAGCTCAAAATACAAAACAATCTCTATAATAAAAGTATAATAATAATTAAAATAAAAAAATAATAATTAGATGTATTAACATTCTAACCAATACTGTTAGTGAAAGTAACATCACAGAAATGATGGAATATATGCCATGGGTCAAGTATTAGCTGTAAAGTGGCTTATGTTCTGGTTATAAGAATAAAGGGTTCCCATTATTCAAGATCATTGCTCATCTACTTTTTAACATGTTGATTTCACTGCCTGAATACTGTGGCTAAGGTTGACTTCTATCACCTTACATATGCTTGAATTACTACAGTAATAATCTATACAATAAGTAATGGGTTCAAAATAAAAGCCTTACACAGCACAGTTCTATGGGAAAATTTTGAAAAGCTAAAAGCTCTTGTAAAGATTGGCATATTGCATACGGATGTATCTCAGGCAGAATATGCTTTTAACAGATTGATGCATCATTGATGCTTTAGTATGACCAACATATATTTAATATGTACTTTAATATGCAAAGTTAAGTACTTTTACAGTAGAAGGGTTGTCTACAGAGAAAATGTGTGTTTTTAAAATTATGCATGTACTGTTGTTGCTTATTTTGTGAGGAGAATTTTATGTTTTTTATTAAATGTACATAACATAAAATTATCATTTCAAGGATAATAGTTATACCACAGAAGTATATGTCAGTGAGTTCTATATACAAGTTTAGTTTTAATATAAAAATTTGTGCAAAAATCACTATGTGCTTGTGTGCACATCATTTTCAAATAAATCTTAACTTAACTCTTTCTTCAATATATAAATGCTTTAAGTGTGAGTATACTCGACATTTTGTGAAAATTACTATTGAATAGTCTTTTAAAGTCACTGAAGCATAAAGTAAAAAAACCAGTGCTAAAGTAAACTATTTCATAGTTATTAATTTAGCCACAGAAGGAGTAGTGCTTCTATTTTGTTTATTCACTAACTCTTTTTCTGTATTTTGAATACCCAAGGTAATAAAAACAAGTAAAGTTAAACCAAAAAAATTGCAGCTTTAGAACTAAAGTTTCTTTCACATAAGCTGGTTAGGATTAGTTAATCTTTTCATAGGGTATATGGATTTTCCTTGTTTTATTTAGTTTTTTATCTATTATTATTACTTTAACGGCTTGATGTGTAAAGCAAGTTCAGGCCTAATTTCATGAAAGCTTTTCCATACCCCTATCAATTATAATAATTAGCTCTTACACAGATAGCTATAGTCTTAGTAATCAAATATACTACTTAAAATTTGCTAAGCATCAGAATTTTCTAGCAATAGGTTTATTAGATAAAACTATTTTTTTGAAACAATACTTGTGCCAGTGCTTTTAAATGTCCTCTGCAGTTGTCAAGTGCTTTTTCAGACTGTGTAATCAAGCACGATCATCAAGTATAGCAGAAAGTGGGTGACCTCTATTCTTGGAATATTCAAATTTTGGTTCTTTAATTGTAGACCATTCCAAAACTTAAAAGACACATTTTATAGCTTTACTGCTTCATTCAGTGCACTTTGATGCCACGCAGGCACCATCTGAGCTTGCAGGTACTCTCAAGAGGAACAGGGATGCTCCAAAGAGGGTTGTCCCAGAGAAGGGTTTCTGCTGGACTAGGAATCAGTCAAAGGGTAGTCTCTGAGGCATGGAATTGCTTCCAAGAGACAGAAGTGGACAGAAGACATAATAGTGGTCAGCAAAGAACAACAACACATCAGCAGGATCTATACCTTGTTACATCAGCAAGTAGAAATTAGACTTTGAATTCTACAAGTCTTCAGGGAAACCACAGAAATGCTTCTGGAGATACTGTCTTCACCCAGACAGTGAGAAACAGACTCCATGCAGCCAGCCTGAGAGCAAGAAGACCAGCAGTGGAGTCCCATTGAGAGCCAGACACTGTCAGCACAGGCTTGAATGTGTATAGAACATATGGACTTGCCACCAGTTTTTTGGTCAAATGTTCTCTTCATGGATGAATCTAGATACTGCCTGGACTATGATGATGGATGCACTTGAGTGTGGATACAACCTAATGAGAGATAAACAGATGTGAATGTGATAGAACATAACATAACCAGTATCAGTCTCAGGGGTCATAAAGACTTGTACATCATCCAGAATGGAGTTTTGAATGGAGAAAAGTACAGGGATGAGATCCTGGATGTTTTTGTGAGGCCATATGCACGAGCCACAGGCCCATATTTAATTTTAGTGAATGACAATGCAAGAGCACACAGGGCCAGGTTTGTGAATCACTACCTAAAGAATGAGAGTATTGAAACAATGGACTAGTTAGCATGTTCACCTGATCTGAATCCAAGTGAACATGTTTGGGACAAACTGCAAGCAGCAGTATCAGCTTTTTCAGTGCAACCTACCAGCCTGGAGGAGCTTGGAACCACTCTAGCCCAAGAATGGAATAATATGTCCCAACAGACATTCACCAGACTGATCCAGGGCATAAGAAAATTCTGTCAGCCTGTCAGTAATGCAATGGGAAGATGTACCCAGTATTAAGCTAAAAACAAAACCCTGTTTCCTGAATATGTGTACACTTTGAGATCTTTAATATTAATCTTTATTTTGGGAATAACCCAGATCCTGGACATTAATTTTGTTATCATGTCTTTATTTTAGTCAAGGTCAATTAAAACCTTGTGGTTGAATGAAAATAAACACTTCTACATTAATTTTGTTTACATTTATATATTCCTTGAAAAATTGCAATATTATTCTGTGATCCTTATAGCAAAAGTTGAGTAGTGTAAATACTTAAATATGTTGTAGAAGCTTTTTGGTATAATATAAAATTCTTAGTTTGTAAAAGTTAAGAGGAAATTAACATAGGTAGTATAAACTAAGATAAAAATGTCTAGGAAACATCAAATATTTGATTTGGCAACTCCTGAATTTACCTGGGTGTTTTCCATCTTTTCAGCCCTGCTTGGTGTTCTTGATTTATTTTCTGATCTTTTCCCAACTTTTCCTTTAGCAGCCATAGCTTCAAGTTTGTTAGAAATGGATCCACTAGATGGCTCTCCATCCCCAGTATTTGCTTTACTTGTCTCACGAGCCTTCTTCTTTTCTAAAGGTTGTTCTGGAGAGGTGCTCAGCAATGCCACACCTATTATTAACAAATAAATCAGTAGGCTTTACTATTAATATTTTACAGTCAATAAGAAAGCTGACATAAAAAATATTTGTATAAAATAAACTAGGTTTACCAAACTAAGAAAAAAAAGGTACAGAAAAATAATTAAAAATTAAGAACGTACAAGATACTACACTAGTTTAAATCCCAAACCCAAAAACACTACTTTGATATCGCAATATATCAAACAGATATATATTTGATTTAATTATTTATAAATGTTTCAAGTGCTATATTTATGATGTGTGAAAAAACAACCTAATGATAAATTTTTTGATTATTTATTCTATAGCACTGGACCAAAATGTAATGTAATATAAAAACTGTGAGTACATAATGTATCTATGGTTGTAATCAAAGGGTTAAGAACATGCTATCTATTTAAATGAAACCTTCGAGTGATTCTTATTTTTTAGTGAAAACATTTGTAAGAGGTAACTATTTCATGAAGTTATTGGATTATGAAAGTGTTGCAAGAAATAACGATCTTATAACACTAACTGCTACCTCAGGTTATTTACAGTGGCTGAATAATATAAACAAAATATATTTCATCATTATAAGGTTTTATATATAACACATAATTTTATCAGGATCACAGAGATTTTGAAACATTAGCTATTAACCTAAGGAAAATAAAACTTGAAGAGAAAAATATATGAATAAACCAAACAGTTTTATGGCAAATATAAAGCTAAGAACAATTAGGCTTGACATAAATTTTCTCTAAAGCCAGTTTAACTATAAAATATGGCTGAAAACATTTCAGTGCTGGTTCAAAAACCACAAAACTATAATGTCTACTACTGGGTTTTGTTCAGTAAAATATGTAAAAATCTCAGTTTAACCTTCTTGCTACTGGTAGGTAATGATGTACATGTCACAACTTTTTAAAAAGTTACATTCTAAATTTAATTAAACTACTTTATTGTCATTATATCCAAATAAAAATAACATCAAAAATTAGTTAAAAAACAACTTTTAATATTATGTAAATTTAAAATTCTTAATTTTATAAGAATATTTAAAAAATGTCCTCAGTCACCCCTAGTAGGAGAATTATGACATTTGTTCTCTGGGTCTTCTCTGTTCTCTAATTTATCTACCATACCTCTGATAAGTATGGAATTTAATGTAAAATACTCACTATCATACAAATATTACTAAGGCAAAGCATAATTTTTATAGCCTTCAATCTTATTTGTTTATGGAGCCATAAACTACAAAACCAGATGCACCACATATTCTCTTTCACAAATTGCCAATAGTTCTCTCTGATGTTTTATACTCTATTATTCATAACCAACAGAAAGCCAAAGTTTCAATCTATCAAATAACATATTATGTTACATTGTTTTCTGTATAATGCCTATTTCACCTTCTGTTTGAAAATTCTCTTGCAGTAGTTACATCGATACGCTTAACTAAATTTTGAAAGGTTTTTTATCACATAGTTAGAACACCAAGTAAATTATGATAGCTGTAGATCATTGTTTGCCTTGTGTGTGTTATTATTCCATGTTCTTAGGTGCATTATTTGATTAAATAAAAATTATTTAGTGTACTAGTACCATTAGTATAAAAAATTAGGCTTAACTTTCATCGACAGTCAACAGCAAAAAACAAAAACAAAACAAGAGGACATGGGTGAGTACTATATTTATTAGAAACTTACTGGTTTAGAATAGGTAAGATACAAAAAAACTAATAATAATTCTTCATGAGGTATGCTCACAAGCAGCTCATGCATTACATAATTTAATATGGTAGCTTGAACTACTCGTTACCTGAGTGATTTACAACTTGTTATTTGCAATTATTAGTTAGACATGGGTCAAAGGGCAGTAAAAAAAAATAATTAAAATATAAACAGATGTATACTGTTATGAAAGTTAAGCTGGTTAGGATAAACAATTGTAGTTTCCTGTTACAATTTGCAGCCATTCTAGAAAGAAAAAACAGTAGTTTACTTTTATTTTGTAGTTTTTTATGGTGATTAGCAAGTCAGTCAAATTGACTGAATGCATCTACACAAAATATAAAGTTTTACTGAAAAAGTTTGATATCTATTTATGAGGTTTTAGAGACTATGCAAATGAAATTTGACATTACTCAGATAAAGTACTTTTAATTTTAAGAGAAACATCAATTTGCAATTGGGGTAGTGAACATTCTGACTTCATATATTTCCAGACAATTTTTTAGTAAAAAATTAAAAAATCTTATATTTTTGTGTACAAAAGACTTGTAATGTTTACTGAAAGCTTGCCAAATTTCGTGAAGATATACAAAACACGTTTAAAGTTATAGCATGAAAACACTGATGGTTACTTTGGGGTTACGCACTTGGCAGAATCGACAGAGCCCTTAGTGAGGATGGTAAACAATATTACAAAAACTTATTAGATGTGTTAATAGAAGCAATTAAAAATTAATGGCATACCGCGACAAACTCTGATATAGATATGTGCACAATAAAGCCACCTATCTGCTCACCAATAAGCTTCAGGTTTATAATGCTAAAGGTGTACAAAATTCAGTTAGCCTATTGTGTAGCATTGTACTAAAAACTAAACAAAAAACTGAATAAGAAAACCCAAGAGTCCTCCAAAAACATAATCTTCAAGTGTATTGACAATGAAGCATGAATCTAGCATCTACTCAGTTGTTGTATTGTAATTTCATTTGCATTATCATGGGTTTATAAATTTACACGTTATTATTACTGTTTGTTTGTGCAGTTCAGGATGTTTTCAGCAAAATGGTTATTTTGTTATATCTAGAAATGAAAAGAAAAACTTTCATACTCTCAATGTCCATCTACCCCCAGTGGCTGAAAGTTATTCCTATTAACATATAAAAGAAATACAAGCTGATATCCAGAGGACAAAACCGACATGAATTTAATCTTACCAACGTGGGCATGCTTCAGTGCTCCAACATCATTGGTTCCATCTCCACACATTAAAGTACTATAACCCAGACTCTTCAAGGTGGTAATTACATATTCCTTGGAGGAAAAAAAAACAACTGCAGCCTTACATATATATATATACACACACACTTTCACATGCAACTTATGAGTCTTTGAAATATTATTATTATTCCTTTGTCTTACACAGTAAATATACTTCTTTAAATCTGTGAGAACTTTTATTGATAAGTAAAAGGGAGGTTTGTGCATTTGACTCTAATGAGAAAATTACCATAAAAAACACACAAAACATTATTTTTACTTTTCTAGCCTCATTTTTCTTGGTAGAATGCATACATTATTATCTTCTCTACACTGATTGAAACTCACTGTCATGACCATTACTTAGCTATATCTTGTTCTTCAAATTGGCTAATTTATACCAAACAGCAAATATTCTGAAGCAAGTTCCTGCCATTCTTGAACATTGTTCTAAAAAAAATTGGGTAGTCAAGCTATAATTATTCACTGAGGCAAGTTTGAAGGGTCAAATTTGCCAATGCAAAATATGTCAGCAGTTGTTTCTTTTTAATTCCAGTGGTATATGTTTTGAAATTATAAAAGCAATGACTAGCCAAAATTTACATGACCCTTGATAAAATACTCAGTAGGAACACACAGCTAAAGGAATTAATTCATTACTGAATCTTCCAAGACAAGTTTACAAAACACCTCTTTTGTTAACTGCTCATATTGTGTAACACCAAAGGCTGACCAATAAGCTGCGGATAAATCCATGTCCAATCAAATTAGCCAGTAAAATTTCTAAAGCCCGTCCTATAAGAAATGATCCCAAACCCCACATTCTTGGTCATGGAAAAATTTCAAATTCAATTTATGAATTATATAAGCTTAACTTATGATTCATTTACATGGTTAAAAAGCAACAAATTAAGTTCAAAACATTTCAAACTAATATTCAATTTATTCAAAGTGTACACACTATATAATCAATGTAAATTAATAAACAAAAGTTCATAGTAAACTTCATCATTAAGTACTTACAGTAATGTTTTGGCAATCAAATAGCAACTGTAGGAACACATACAATTCCCTAAACCACTTGCTAATTAATTCATATTCTATGCATAAGCTGCTAATTTGCAGGACTTATGTGGTGGCAGGAGCTGGGAATCAACCCTGAATTAGAATGGAAAGTGAGAGCCTTTAAGAAGAAAAGCAAGGATCAATTCCCTGTTTCTGTTCTGTCATTTTCAGAACTCCTTGAAGATGGCAGCATATTAGCAGCTTGAAAGTAAGGTGTAAATACTTTGTAATTAATATCTAATAATTTAAAAAATGATTAACTAATCAGTGATTAGTTATAAACAGATGAAATGTTTCTTTAAAGTTATAAAACAAGCATTATTTCATAAGCTGAACTAACCTGGTTAAAATCCCAGTCTTAGATTATGAACGAGTAAGCTCTCTTTCATACAAAGCCTTTGTTCGTTATTGTCTCTTGTTAAGATCTTAAGAATTGACAACTATGTAACTATTTATATCAATTCATGTGTTCATAAGACAATTACATTCTTTCACGACAGTACAGATTCAGTGATGTCTGAAAGCTTGTGTGATGGCCATTATGTATATGAATGTTGGAGATTTATTATTTTAATTTTTTAATTTGTATGTATTACACAAAGCAGGAAGTTTTAAAATGTTACTTTATTATGATGTTTGTAAGAGTCCAATTTTGTGGCTTTTTCCTGTCAGTAATTATGGTGGCTTACTTCTGCAACAAAAAAACAGAACATTTGTTTTGTTTAGTTTACTGATCATTCTTAGCAACCCTATTCTTGTACGTATGTCTGAATTTCAACTTGAGTGGGTTTAATTTATGGATATTAAGCTGAATATAGATTATTTATTATCAGAAAAAGACTTCTAGGTTTCTGTAGAAGTCTTTAGCATATGGACTGATTCAATAATGGTGTTTATCTTTATAATAAGTGGTTAATACCCTTTATAATGTTATAATTTATCATATTTTTGAAATTTCCAAAGTACAAGTCTATCGCTAACATTTTGATAAGTTGTTATGGTAAATCTACTCTACTTCAGTTTAGCAATGCAGAAAAACTACATATCAAGTGTTCTAAAAATAAGTTCATTATACATTTTCTAAAAGAATAATTAAACATATTGCCAAGATCTTTGAATTCTGAAATTAAACAAAGGTCTATGTTTAAATGTTTAACTAATTAGTCCACAGAGGCTTTCAAATTAAAACAACAATAATCTAGATTTTATACGTCTTAAAAATTTCATAGAAAATATAACAAGATTCTTGTACAATGTAAGAAAACACCTGATCACATTAACTAATTTAAGATGACAACAGGTTGAAATCTCATTTATGTAAAAACCGAATGCTGTAATTTTTAACTGTTTTGCTTAAGGTTGAAAATAGTCTTAGCTTTTGGTTTAAAATTTACAATATCTAGTAAGTTAAAAGCTGATGATTATTTTCTATACTTTGAGCAATTTTTACAGTTTGTCATAACAACCAATATATTTTAAAATCTGAAGAATCTTTTAGTGATATTAGGGCTCCAGTCAGTGAAATATCTTTAGTATCTTTTAATAATTCTTCTTCTATCGACTTTTAAATGTATGAAATGAAGATTTGATAGCACTAAAAAAAAAGCTTAGTTAAAAACAATAATATAGTCAGAATTAAATCTGATAAAGGAAACATCATAGTTATTTTGGATAAAATAGATCTAAGTGAAGTTCATAATATCTTGAGTGATTCAACTAAACTTTTAAAGCTTAGCATATAAAATAATTTCAAGAACATATGAATTTCTGCATAGAGTTTGATAACATCAAGAAATTTTCATGAAAAATGGTTTTCCTATTTGATTGTTTGAATAATTTGATGACTATTCGAACAAACAAGTCATTAGTAAACTTTTAATGTATCAAGTTCTGAAATGTTCAGTTTATATAACCTTACCATATATAAAACCATGTACAACTGAGATGCATTTTAAACCAGAATATCATTTGCTGTATTTCTTCAGATATAAATATCATATTTCTCCATTGACAACTTCATATTTAGTTTATCATTTTAACAGTGCTTCCTGAAAAAACAAGTTTACACCAGTTCTACTACAAGGAAACGGCTTCGTTTATCAGTTTAAATGCCCTTGTAAGAAGCACGATAAGATCAGTTTTACTATAAGGAAGCTGCTTAGTTCATCAATTTAAATACCCTTGTAACAAGCAAGGTTACATCAGTTTTACTACAAAGAACCTGCTTAGTTTACCAGTTTAAATGTCTTTGTTTCAAGCCAGATTACATCAGTTCTACTTAAAGGATGCTGCTAAAATGAGTGGAAATACATCACGCTTAGGAATTCCAAACAAATCAAGTGTGTTATTCTATTTTCCAACTTATTGCTTTCTGTAGAGAAAACACTATAAACTCTTCCCCTAGAGATTGGTTTAACATAACAATATTTGAACTGATGTCCTGTATGAATACTGCTCAAATCTAATTTTATTGGTGATAATACTATTGTTTGGACTTATAATTTCAATGCATTATGTTTTACAGTTTATGTATTTGGACAGGATAAATGTCATTCCTTTAAACATCAAATATTACTATATAGTTGAACAAATTAATGAATTGCAAATGAGCAACATCTATACATTACGGCCATATAAAAATGGTGGTTTCTAAACTTTTTTCACTAACAACACCCTAACCTACTTACCTTGATTTGCATGATGCCCCTGCTGCCACATGTATTATTTTTTGCAGTTTCTTTTTACTAGAATAAACACCACCCTATGGGTGGCTGTTTGTGCTAGTATTCATACCTCATTGAAAAAAGTTTAGAAAAAGTGAACATTTTCTAAAAAAAGGATTTTTCTGGGAATTCCGTGTGCGAAAATTATTCCAATCGTGCTGATATAAACTATAATGTTTTTATACATTAAAAGTGGTAACCTTTATTGAAAAAATAAGTTTGTTTTAATAACTCCATTTTAGTACTATATTTACAAATTGCATCAATAAAGCTATAATCAAACCCTCACGCACAGTCCTAGTGAAAGTCGTGTTCTTGTTGCTAGGAGAATACTTTTATTTAAAATTGTGTTCTGTGATAAAGAAATGGTTATTGCACATACTTTTTCTTACTGTCTCAATCTTGAATACACAAGGTGTGAAATTTTTTTATGGATTTTTGTTTGTGGTGCCATTCAATAGATGGATTCACATTGTATTTATTATTTTGGTCACATACCTAGATACATATACCCATTATTGTAAGATGTTTTTAATTCTTCTTCATTTGGTGAAACTCTCATAACACCCCGAGCAATTTGCCACAACACACTAGTGTCATGACAATCAGTTTGGAAATCAATGCTCTAATGTATATCCTATAACAAGATTTGGTAGATACAACAGTACTTCTGTAAATTTTATCTAATGATGCTAATACTAAAGAAGTAAAATAATTATTTTCATTTGTCAGTGGAAAACAAAAAAACATTTGTTTTTAAACAGTAATTTTGTATGAAGAATAAGCATACCTTTTGTTTTGGGGCCACTCTGGCATATACTCGTATGTGTGGAAGAAGTTGATTAAAGAACTTTGAATCAAGTGAATGAAGATAATTCATTCCCTGAAATCAGAAAATAAAATTAATACATCCTAAAATTTCTTACAATGTGTAATAAAATGTTTAAAATATTCCCTACAGAACTAGTTGAAATTAGTGTAAACTTATTTGAGCTACAGAAATGTATAAAGGAATTGTGATAAAAAAGAATCTGAAGCAATTATTGTTTTTCAATGAGCCACCTCCTCATTTGAAGTAATTGTTAAACTTTTTTCTCCAAATAATGTGAATGGTTTCTTGAGATGTTTTTATACAAATAGCTTGTTGTTATAATACAGAGTTCACATCTTTAGTAACTTCAAAAGCATCATCACATTATGCGTACTGTATTGACTAAATGCTTTCAATAATTCACTGAAATGATAATTATAGTTACTAAAATACACATGAAAAAAATTAAATTGGCATAAATATTTCATTTAACTATCTCACTACGAGGTCAGTCGAATTAACCAACCTTGTAACCACTTTGTTCTTGTTACAGTTTCCGTACTATAACTTTTAATACAGTAAGTATATCTTCACAAAATCTGGAAAACTTTTAGCAAACATTATGTCTTTTGTACACAAAAAGACCAGCATTTTTAATGAAGTATCTTTACTAAACATTTGTCTGAGAATATATATATATATAGTCCAAGTGCAAAGTAAGTTTCATGTTAAGATTAAAAATACTTTTCTTCATCTCAAAAATACCAAATTTCATTTGCATAATCTCTAAAACCTTCTAAATAAATTTCTTATTTTTCTCAGTAAAACTTTATATTTTATCTGTTATTTTCTCTACCCTAACACTATAAAAGATTGGTCAATTTGACCAACCTCATACTCCCACCAAGGAAAAATTTAAATAAGTCTAAATTATCCTTTTCTCTTTCTAGAATGACTTCATATTGTAACATGAATCTACATTTATCTATCCTAAATATCTTTAAACTTGTAACAGTATACACCTATTTACAGTTTTTAAAATTTTATTGTTTTATTGCCCTTCGAACTGTGTATAACTAATATTTGTGCCATTATAAGTTGTAAATTACTTGGCAAATGTGCAACTCACATTACGCTATCCAATTGAATTATGCACAAGCCGCTCGTGAGTGTACCTCCGTGAAAATTTTTATTATATTATTATTCTTTATTTTACCTAATCTAACTTTAACTAACCTAAAAAGTTTTCTATTTTTACATTTCAGTCACTTTTATAATAATAAATACAGAATACACATGAAAATCAAGAAATAAAGTACTTACTAGGGTCTTCATTTTCTTTGTTGTTGACTGTTGATGACTTTTAACCATACTTTTTTATACTAATGGTATTACTGCACTAACTAATTTTTTATGTAATTAAATAATGTATCAAATAACACAAAATAATAACATGCAAAATGCAGACAATGTTCCATAACTATCACAATTTCCCTGGCTTTCTAACTATGCGACAAGAGCCATTATAAATTCATCTAAGCTAGTCAATTTGTTTCTCATGGGAATAAAACTTGTACTGAAAGCAAAATTGACAATTCTCTGTACAAAAAACAACATAATCTATATCTCATTTGATAGATGAAAGCCTTGGCTTTCTATTGGTTATAAATAATATGGTATTGAATGTCAGTTTATTGGTAATTGAACAGCAATTTCTGAAAGAGAGGCTGTGACAGGTGGGCATGGCAAGAGGGGTATGATTTTTTATTTGATGGCTTTGTAACTAAATAAGATTGAAAGCTAGAAAATTATGCTTTGCCTGAGTGATGACAAAATTATGATGAGTAATTTACGTTAAACTTCATACTTCTTGGAGGGGTGGTAAATAAATTAGAGAAATGGATGCCAAGAGAAAAAATGTCATAATTCTCACACTAACTGAAGTTCAGGATATTTTTTAAATACTGCCTTATAAAATTAAGAACTTAAAACTTATATATACTATTAAAATATGGATCATTAGCTACATTTCTTATGCTGTACTTATTGCCATACCATGAAAAGAAAGTAGTTTAATTAATCTTTGAATGTAAATCACTAAAAACCTTGTGACATATGCAGAAAAAGATGCCCATGGAGAGAGGGTTATAGAAACTGAATAAAACAGCTAGAATTACTGGTATTTGAAATAAAAATTGCTTAAACTTAAAAACTTCAATAGCTAATTGTTCTTTACAAATTTAGGATATTTGTTTTGTTTTTTAATAGAAATTATCACAATAAATAGAATCAAATATTGTTAATTTTTACTGTGAGTTGTATGTTTCAATTTTATACATGTTCTAATGCTACAAAGTTTTTCTTTCGCCAACAATTGGTTGAAACTTAATTAGTGAGTGACATTAATCTTTTTTTCCTTCCCTTTTTTGTTTGTATTACAGCTGGGTAACTCAAATACCTATGAGAATCAATAATGTGGATTACAGTCAATTAGTTAAATTAAAATTAAATTGACTAAAGTTATGAAAATCCAGTAGTGTTTCTGAATATTACTCTTTCTGATTATTCCAACTATTCAATAATCAAAATTATGGTTAAATCAATTAATGTCATAAAAGTAATCAACCAATCAAAATTAGTTTCCAGTTATTAATGCTTTCATTTATTCCAACTATCAAACTATCCAACTATTCCACTAATCAAAATATTACAATTATGATTTTTCATTATTATTTTCAATTAATTAACGTGTGTTCAGTTTAACAGTTTAATTTTTTCTTATAGCCGTCTCATATGACAATAATTGATTATTTGCACGTAATAGATTAATGAGCCTGATAATTCTGTCTTTCTTTTCTTCTTATTTTGAGATGCCTCTTTGAAATTCTCTAATTAATTTTGAATTTTCTCTACAGACAGTTAAGTTTTATTTAATTTTATAACATGTATGTTTCTATTTCTTTTCAGAAAGGCATAGATCAAATTTTCTTATTACAGTATCATACTAAAATTCATAGATCAAAACAAGTCATAATTTACTTGAAAATAAAGTAAGATACCAATCAAACTTATATTTATGGTGTTTGATGGTTTTAGTTGTCTTTTATCTATCTAAGTTAGTATAGAAATTGAAAAATCTATGATCTGATTCTGAGTTATATAATTCCTATGGAATTACACATACTTCTCCAGTTAAACATAAATCGTAAGATCTGTATAGAAATCTATGTCCTCCTTCTGGAATAGCTGGGAATTTGGCAGTTTGATCTATTGAAATCCATTGCCATGTTGAATCTGAAATATTCAGAAAAAAATAATTTTGTCAGGATATGTCTGAGAGGAAGCCATGAATATTAGTTTCTAAAATTACAAGGACTCTTTAAACAAATAGCTTCAAAGCATTATCCTTTAATTGTCAAATACTACAAAAATCACTGAAAACAGCTTTTTGTACATTAAAATCAGCTCCGAACGTGTATCTGACAGTGTATTTTGCAGTGGCACAAATAATGGCTGTCCTTCAGTAACGAAGATAGATTATTGACTTCACTACAAGTATCACTTTGTATGGACTTACTATGAATGTTGAGATATATATTTTATTGGAAGAGGGAACCTATCAGTTTTGGATCAACACTAGTGGAGTGTTGGTTATTTTTCTCTTCTTTCTCTCTGACCTCTTAATTTCAAGGTACAGGTAATATTTTCTCTTCAACAATGTAATTCCCAAATGAACAATTTCACACCATTCTATGTTGTCTGAGCCAATGACTTACCAGCCCATGGTATCCATGTCACATGCTAACAAGTGAGATTGATGTTGTCTTTGCATTTCTTCCTTGGGCTTTCTTTTGATCAATGTCCTTATTTTGCCTCACTGAATAGTACTCATAATTCTATGACCATAGCTACTGATCTGATGGATCTCTAATAATTTTGTATAAATATATGCATTAAAGTAGTCAATAAATGTTTTGTTTTGTTACTACTAACTATGACTGTTTCTCATGTAAACTTCATGGAGTGGTGACCTGTGTGCCACTACAACTTGCACATTATTGGTATTTTTAACACATGCTATTGTAAGTTACCATCTTAACCAGCAGCTGTTATGAAAGTGTTACATAAATAAATCATGATTCTAAATTAACATCACAAAAATAGCAGAAATCTTATTTGCTTATAGGTGTATGAGCATGCAACATGTAATTCATTGTAAAAAAAAAAGTTATATTACAGCTTTATTTCAAAGTATTTACCTTCTCTTTCTGATGCACTCAATATAAGTGTCTTCTCATGTTTGGTGAAACGAAGTTCTCGAGCTACATGACAAGCTGTGAGTGGAGCATCTCCTGTGATCATCACTGTCTGTTCATCACAACATAAAAACACTTTGATTATAAGTCCTACATCATTGAGTTTTGAGATTCATTTCTAGTGAGAAAGTAGTTCAACAACATTTTACTTTCAGACTATAGATATGTTAGGAGAGGAGAATGTACTAGACTTTTTTCCAGCATTTCATTGAGTCATGTTCCTTAGAGTTTAAAAATTACAGCAATATATAGACAGTCCAAGGAACTTCAGATGATGTGTTTAGAAGTTAGTTACAATCATTCATTAACTATATCTTGTACCATGGCACAATCTATTACTTAATGAAAATGCCTTCTTCTATCATGTGTTCTTACTCTCTCTGTCTTGCAATGTGTGTGGAATAACAACAGAACAATCATCTAATTCTATCTCTATGTATTCA